ATATATATATATATATATATATATATGTGTGTGTGTGTGTGTGTGTGTGTTGTGTGTGTGTGTGTGTGTGTGTTGTGTGTATGTGTGTATGTGTGTGTGTGTGTGTGTGTGTTGTGTGTTGTGTGTGTGTGTGTGTGTGTGTGTGTGTGTGTGTGTGTCTGTGTATGTATCTTTTTATGTATGTGTATATATATATGTATATATATATAATATATATATATATATATATATATTATATATATATATATATATATATATTATATATAATGGCAAGGTAAGGTTGGCCTTGCCAGTCCTCCCCCAGATAAAAAAAACAAACATCGGCAGTGTTAACTATATATGGTAATGCTGGGAGGAAGGGAACTGCTGTGGATCCCGCTGGGGGCGACTTCCGGGACGCAGGACGGGAGCGAGATATACTCGTCCCGCCTGCGTTCTGGTAGACGCCAGCCCGGAGTGAAGCTTACGGGGAAATCCTTTGGGAGCCCCGTAGGTGGATGGTGGGTTCCACAGCCTGCCGTCCCCTTCTATGTGGAGCAGCGTCGGCGGGGGGTGGCAAAGGTGGCGTCCACCCGGAGAGACTGCCCGAAGCTAAACCTCAGGCAGGGAGCCAGGGTGGGCTTGGATCGTCCGTTCTTTGCGTCAGGATGATCGGTTGCCTCTGCTGTCGAGGGATCTGCCAGCCTCCCATAGTCTCGCATGCCCTGACATCTCGCCGCCCGGTCAACGCTTGCTAAAGTCGTTGTTTTTTTTTTTTGTACATATGTTAACACTTTCGTCACTGACATGAGTATTCACAATAATAGCAAATTTGTGATTCCAAACAGTTGAAGGACACCCCCTCCCCATATTCCTTCGTCTGACCAATACAACGGTGTCCTTGCATCATTAAATTATTTGAATATTTTTCAATTGCTATTGAGGAACCTCACTTCTCAGCTTTTGTGCCTTAAACATGTGGGCGACAATAGTGTTTTTTTTTCAGTCCTGGATGTGGTCGAAAGACACCGCAAGAAAGCAATTTTGTTTTTATGGATTATTTTATGTTAATCAAACAGAAAATTGAAGATTTCTATGGTTTTCTCTGTATGAACAGTTATTGCCTTTTACGTAGAATCTCAGAAATTTTGAATATTCAATTTTTAAATCTTGATTATGTTCCTTTAAGCAGACATTATCATGTGGATTTGTTGATCTTTCCGTTTGCTCCATGAATGTCGGATGCACTGTAGTGAGTATATTTGTATGGATATTCCGAAGCATTGACCCGAACGATATATCCGATCTTTGTGTCCATGAATTATCCACGTTGTTCCGCCGATAATCTTTAAAGAAGCGCGCGTAATGCTTTCGAGATCTTCATGACCCCTGCAATGCTTTCCAGGTCATCGCAAACACTGAACAAGACCAACACTTTGGCAAAATCCTGAAGCTACAGTTCTGGAATCATATTTCGGTACGTTTGTTGGGTCCGTCTTTCGTATATCTAGCGGCCATTATCATGCAAACATAGAGTAAATACTAGTTTGTCTGAAAGAAAAAAGTGTGGTATACTACAAATAAACAAGTGTGTTAATATATATTCTGGGAAACTACGTAAACCATTCGATATGTTTCTTCAAGTACGTGATAAGAAAACGTAGCATTAATTATCTGTGACTTTGTAGAGGAATATTTTTCAGCAAGTATTTCCTGAGGCCGACCACCTACTTCAGGGTACGAGGCGCCTATGCAAAGCGTCAGGGTGGAGGTTGGGGCCTCCACTACGGGCCCTGCAGCCCACTTCAGCAGTTGCTGCCTCGGTTGGCCTAAGTAGAAGAACACCGGTGCGAGCCTTACAAGGGGGGGAGGTCGGTAGCCAGGGGCTTCGCGACTTCGGAGCGTCGTGGACGGCGGCTTCTGGTGGCCATCTGGGAGGAGGATGTCTCCCACCTTCGATTGTCGGGGATGGGAGGCTTCTGTCCGGTGTCCCGGGCAGCCATCGCTGTTTGGAGGGTGTGACTCCCATAAAAGGCTGATCTCTCAGCCCAGATTTGACCAAGAGATAAAATCCAAGAGACGAAGCTCCCATGCTTCGTCACCAATATGAATAAAGTTCAATCTCTTTTACCAAACAAAATCACTGAGATAAAGTGATCCACTCATGGGTGACTTTTCCAAACCCGGTCCACCTCTTAGTGGGTGGTAAAAGATAAATAAATAAATAAAATAATAATTAAGATGTAATATATACTGGGAGTCGGTTCTCACGCTTTTGACAATGACCCTCCCTGGAGCCAGCTGTTCAAATGGATGTGTCTCCTCATAGAATCCCTAAGACTTTGAATAATAAGAGCAAAAACTAGGATCACATTTTAGTACAAAATAGAGGGTATCCAGAATTACCGAAACGAATTCTACTGTAGTGTTATCCCCTCCCAGTTGAGACACTTTCAAACTACAACGCGGGTCTTGCAGAGCGCAACTTACGAACAGGGGAGCTGCTTTCAAAAGGATGGTAGCTGGCGTGCACTGCAGCATGACCCGTTCGTCACAACCCTGAAGCCCTTTAACCCCGTGAGTAAAAGGCATTACATTATCTTTAATTAAACCTTCATTTACTTTAACTTTTCCTATTCACTGCTATTATTGTTTATCAATGTAGTCATATTCTTTTTCCATTTTATCAATATTTCATTCTTCTTTTAAAACCAAAAAAACAGTAAAATAAACAAACCAAGGATAAAACGAAACCAACGCATAAAAAGGAAAACCTGAGATCCCCTCAGTCTGTATATTCACAAAAGGTACAATTCATATAACACATTCTGACTGGCCTTTTACAAAACATGAATATACTTATCTTTCTCTCTCTTGTAGAAGAAAAAAAACGAAGAAATACAACAAAACAGGAGACGTCCAGTGAGGCCGGGCGCTCCGTGAGCAGCACTGACGAGCCAACAACCCAAGAGAGAGTTTAGCACAAAACAGCCTCTTTATATAGGCTCTTATAAAATGTGTAAATAATAAAAATGAATGAAAATAAAAGAAATTTACATACTTAAAAGAAATTAAAATAAAAACTAGAGGCCGTGAGAAAAAGCTAAAATAAATAAAACATAAAAGGCTCCAGGGAAGCAAAACTGCAGCTGGCTACCGCCGATCCCCACAGATGGTGCTGGTGCTGGCTAGAAAAGGGGGGACTCGCCTAGTCTGGACTCCTGCTTAGTGGGGTTACCTCACGTCCACTACACTACGTACTGTATCGCACATCATCCCCATATATTCACTTCGCAGTTTCATATATGCTGCAGGTACGCACATTTGCGCACGCACACACAGTCATAAAGCGTCTATTTGTCCACATTAACCTTACTGTGGCTTTGTGTTCCATTAATGTTCTATAATTAAGAGTAGCATGTTTTCTAAACCCCCCTCCCCCAATCCCTTGCCCGTTGTTGTCATGGGAGGGCTTAGGAAATGGAGACAGACCCAATGCAGGGATCTCCCCTGTCTAGGGCCTCAGCCCTCGACTCAACTAATTTTGCATGGTCTTTTCCCCCTCCAGCTTTTTGTTTCTGTCCCTTCTCCAATCCTTTCTACTATCTACTTCCTAAGGTGTAAGAGCCGTGCTGAAAGGATGAAAGGCTGACCTTGTGCCATTCCTGAACGGCTTGTGGTAACCATGGGCACGGTACTCTCGATTTAGTTGTCTAGCCCTTACCCCTGTACGGCGCACTGGGGTGTGGACTGTTTATTTCCCTTTACATAATCAAGGCTTCCCATGGCCAGTAATGATGATGTGATACCCCTATTAGGGGCAATGAGGCTTGCCCCTTCATCAAATAGCCCCACCGGCTCCCCAACCCCAGGCTCTTCTTTGACCACGACTCAGAACACTGAAACTACTACCCACCCCTCAATGCCTACTAGTGCATTACCCACCCAAGTAGAGACACAATCTCCAGAAGACATTGCTACCCTCCCAACTTCCTCAAATTCATCAACTCTACCACCACCAACCCTACAAATATCTTAACTACTCTATTTAGCCCAGCTAAATGGGACTGATTTTTCGTGATCCCCCTACAACTCCTTACTCAGGCAACATTCTTCTCTTTCAACAATGTCTACAAAAACATGTAGGCAGAGTCCCTTTCCGTACCCGACGCGATCACTTCCGTCTCGTAACGTGACCCACGTGCGCATTCACGCTCGTTCGTGCTGTATGTTTTGGAAGCTTTTTCGAGTGGTTTAAGGTCACAAACAAGTCTTCCAATATTGCCCGTGAGTAAATGAAGCTACAGTGATCACCCTGACCCTATATTTGGCTGAAGTAATTTTGTCTGAAAATTTGAAATCGGCCGCCTCACCCCCCCTTCAAATCATGTTGCTGGGGTTGCGCATGCGCACTATGAAGTCACGTGACCTCACCCTCCACTCTCCACTTCGCTCACAAGCTCCTGCCTGAACCTCCACCCAACGTCTTCACCAACCACCTCCCCCACCCCCTCCTTTGTTGAGCTCGTGTGCTGCCCTCGCCTCCGTCTGTCTACCGCGCCACTCTTCACCTGCTTACTGCCCACCTTTCGCTCTGAACATCTGCCCGGTGGTTGGGTTGTTCCAGTTATGCGACCTAGCAATCAAGCCAGCCAGTGGGTGGTTTGGCCGCCGCTCTCGCCTCACATGTCACGGGAGGAGATGATGACACTGCTGGAGGTGCAACGCCACAACTTTAATGACGCTATAGCGCGGATTGAAAAGGAAACAGCGCGCAAAATAAAGGAAGTTAATGACAAATATGTGAACCTTGAAAAAAGCCTAGAGTTCTTACAGCGAATTTGAGAGGAAAAAGAAGTATTGGATCAAATGAAGAACGAAAATAAACACCTGCGAACTCATATAAGCGAACTAAGCCATTGAATAAATAGGACAAGGAATGTCATGGCAGAGATGGTAGAACGAGTAGATTATCTTGATAATTACAGCAGACGCAATATCCTGCGAATAATCGGAATTCCGGAAGACAGACAGGAAAACTGGGAGCAGACACAATGGAAGGTCACCAAATCCCTACGGGACAACTTCAACATACAACCAGACTTCAAACGTGTACACCGTGTTGGCAAAGCATTGCTCGGCAGGGACATCGTAGTCTGCTTTACTTGGTTCCCCAAGAGGGATGCTGTGTTTCAGGAGAGGAAGAAGCTGGCCAAGAACAAGTCAAGGGTCCTCATTAATGAGGTCCTGTGTAAAAACACTTTCGAGGTAAGGAAGAACCAAAACGAAAAGCTGAAGGAGGCAAAGGAAGGGGCAGATAGCTTACTTTAGCTATCGCTACACGAGGCAGAGGATCCCATGAACTGTGCTCCTGAACATGAATCTACATCTATTGACGCCTCTAATCCTGTAGCTACTCCTGCCGCCACTCCCGTCCTGAGTGCCGATCCTCCTGTTGCCATGCCTCAGGCTACTACTCCTGAGAATCAAGACGTCACTGCTCGTGCTTCTGCTGGAGCTAACCACACACCGCCGATAGACACCCACGCCAGCCTGAACACGAACGAGACAACGTGCCCCGACCCGGTCGCCAGCAGCCAGACGTCGTGCTCGACCATGACCAAACCAGTAGCGGACCGCAGCACTCGCTACAAAAGGACCCCGAATTTCTACCAAGCCTAAAGTAGGCAGGCAAATTGTTTAAGTATCTATCAAGCGATTAAAATGGCATCCAATGCTATATTTCCATTTCATAATGTAAATGATATTGAATTTAATTCCATTTTATCAACATGCGATGAAATATTACCAACTGATGCGTTGAACAGGATTTCTGTAGAACCAATTATGCATAATGAGGGCGTAGACGATGCAACAACTACTGATAACCTCTTAGTGGAAGCGTTGAATTTTAAGAATCCCAAATGTGATTATGTGTACCCTGAGAGCAGTGTTATAGGATATAGCAGTAAAAGATGTCTTTCCATGTTCGGATTTAATATCAATAGTATGCCAGAGAACTTTGAAGAATTTATCAGCATTAATGTTGTTCCTCTGCAGTTCTCTTTTGATTTTATGTTTCAGTGAAACAGCTCTCCAATGATATCGGACATCTGTATGAAATGCAGAATCACAATAGATATTGTATCAATGTATCACGCCGGGAAGGAGGTTTAGCTATTTTTGTTAACGGCATACATAAGGCATTCATAAAATCTGACTTGACAGTAAAAGAGGAATACATGGAATCTCTCTTTGTGGAAATTCAAGAATCAGGAGGTAATAAGAGTACTATATACAGACGTCCCAAAACAGATTTCAGGTTCTTTTCTGACAAATCAACATCTTGGGCATTGCAAGCTCAGAGAGGAAAAAGGTCTACATTACTGGAGACTTTAATATTAATTTAATCAATCAAAGGGGTGCACCATTAATAGAACTAACATATTTGCAGAAAAAGCATTCTACTAATAACCAAGCCTACTCGAGTTACAAGTAAATCAGCATCATTTATTGCTCTCGTGTGAACCAACG